CGTTTCCTTTTGCCTGTTACAAACATATGTACAAAGACGTAATACCCTGTACCACAGTATGGTGAAGGGTATAACTATGTGATCTACATAGATATATGAACTAACTTTGAGAACTCTATTTACCATTTGCGTAAAATCGGACGAACATGTATATATAATTCAGAACCGATTTCAACTAAATTTAACACACACTGCATTCTTGAGTCAATTATGTATGCTGTATAAAATCTTGTCTCAATCGAAACTACGGAGTTTGGAGCACCATGTACAATGTGTGAAGCTCCACATCATTTAAATAGCTTCTGCGCGAACTGATCCAAGCATTGATTCGTTTGAGTTAATTCTCAATCAGTTTTTGACACATATTGGGCGGTATCTCAGTCAAGGACTCTATATTCCGTTTGCAACACCTCGATATATTCACCTGATACAGAATATATTTTCTTGATCAGAATAAAATTCTATGCCATAATATGCATATACGTCTGTCTGTCCGTCTGAAACTTACGATAAAGCTCGCAAAATCTAATACAAAGCTTTGATAAATAACAAATTGAACTAGAAATAACGATTCTGGCTGAAATAGTTCACTTGCTTTTTGAACTGAATTGTTCATCTGAACTGGGTGGCGTAGGGGATGGTAGATACCAAGCAACGGCTCTGATTGGATTCAACATGGCGAAGTCCAGGCTTATTTTGGTCCCTCTTTCATCTCAATTCTGGACACTGACCTCCCCGCTGTGTCACCTGGGGTAGCTATTTTCATCACACGTTGAAATAGTGAGCTGATATGTGCCGCGAGTTCACCCATAAGAACTATAAAAAATTGGTTGAGGCGTCGGGTTAGTTGCCCACACTCAGAAAAAATTTATACTCCCTAATGTTGACGACCCAACAAACGTATAAAGGACCACGATCTGCGAATCTGCACTTGGAATGTTCTCACGTTGTACAGAACAGGCGCAGTTTTCTCTTCGGTGGATGTAGTACAACGCCGATATTATTGCCTTACAGGAAATGCGATGGATAGGGAAAGGCGTAAGTAATTCAGACGATTACGCCCTGTATTGTAGATGCCATGAAACGAGACATGAATTTGGCTGCGTATTTCTGGTTAACAGGAGAATAAATAACCTCATCTCCAGATTCACTCCAGTAGATGAGCGAATTGTTATAATCCGTATATAAGCGAAGTTCTTCTACATCAGACACATTTGCACCCATGCTCCGACCGAAGATAAAGATGAACAGACCAAAGACATATTTTACGATCGCCTAGAAACAGCATATGACCGTTGCCCTGGCCATGACATTAAAATTCTGCTAGAAGATTCTAATGCAAAAATCGGTAGGGAAAATATCTTTGGCCCCACCGTCGGAAAATCCATGAAGATCCATGAATCCTCCATGAAGAAACGTCAGACAATGGCATGAGGTTGATTGACTTCGCGGCAGCAAAAAAACATGGTAGTTAGCAGCACCAGATTCAAGCATCTCGATATACACAAGGCCCTTGGATTTCTACCGATCGAACAACGAGAAATCGAATCGATCATATTGTGATAGACGAAAAGCATTCATCCATTGTTTTAGACGTCCGATCGATCCGGGGAGTACGCACCCGTCTTAATGTAGCAGTAAAGGTGCGATCTAATGTAACACGGGAATTTGACGTCGAAAAGCTGCAAACACAACACATAGCGGAAGCCTACTCTGCTCAACTTACCCAGCTGCTCGAAGAAAGCACCCCTTGTCCCGATAATAATATAGAAGGTACGATCAGGAGTGTCGTAATGCTACTGATATGAAAAACGCAGCGTCTAGGGCAACCATGTCGACAGTAGCAACACGTAATGCTATGGAGAACTACCGGGAGAAAGGAGAGAGGAGAAACGTATTTTCAGAAAAAAGAACAAGAAAAACGTGAGCGTGAGCAAATCGATATGTACAGGAGTCAGAATGAAGTCCGAAAATTCTACCAACGGGTAAAACACCAAACCGAAGGCTTTGGTGCAGGCACATCCTCCTGTAGAGATAAAGAAGGAAACCTGGTGACAGATGCTGAGGATCTGGAAGGAGCATTTTGAAAAACTTCTGATATTAAATAGTAGTATCCCAGTAGTATCCCAGAACCAATAAGAAATGATGGTATAAAGTGTATACCGCCTAGTCAAGATGAAGTCATAAAGACAATTAATCGGCTCAAGAACAATAAAGCAGCAGGAGCCCATGGGTTACAAGCCGAACTATTGAAGACTGGTGGTCAGATGCTGGTAAGGAGCATGCACCACCTGGTTAGTACAATTTGGCTAGATGAATGCATGCACAAAGATTGGAGACAAGACGATATGTGCCAACTATAGAGGAATTAGTCTTCTTCCCATCGCATATAAAGTGCTACCCAGCGTACTGTGTGAACGACTGAAGCCAATAGTCAATGACATTAGTGGACCATACCAATGCGGCTTAAGACCTGGCAAATCCACCATTGACCAGATTTTCACTCTGCGCCAAATCCTGAAAAAAACCCACGAAAAACACATCGACACATACCACCGATTTGTCGACTATACAGACGCATTCGACAGCCCTATCCATTCAGAGGTGTATAAAGTCATGTCTGCGTTTGGCATTCCTGCGAAATTAATACGGCTATGCAGGATAACTTTAAGTGACACAAGGTCAGCAGGTCAGCAAAAGAGGATTCAGAGAAGGTGATAGTTTGTCTTATGACCTTTTTAACATCCTGCTGGAAAAGGTCATACGAGAGGCAGAAATGAACAGAAATGGTACTCTGTACACCAAACAACACATACTACTCGCCTACGCCGATGACATCGACATAATGGCTCGAACATTGAGAGCGGTAACAGCCAACTTTGAACAAATTGAGAAGGAGTCTGCCAAAATGGGTCTGGCAGTAAACGGCGAGAAGACCAAGCTGATGGTATAAAAGCGCAAGACGTCCAGTAGACGCGGATCAACTGTGAAACTTGAGAACTACAGCTTCGAGGTTGTCAAAAATTTTATATACCTAGTTACCGCCATAAATAAAACGAATAACATAAGTTCATCTGAACTAGTTGAAAACCTACATAGCTTTTCATCCAGCGGACGAAATAGTTTAAGCTTTGCTTCCTGGGAAATATCAAAAGGCATGCAATTGTTTGAGGTGACTCACAGTCGACTGATATCCCAATCGACGATGCCAATAAAATGTTATCGATAATGTTAGTTCATGTTGTTCTAAAACATGCTGTACACAAACACGTTTGACCTATATTTCAAAGGAAAATATATACTTTCTTTGAATCTGACATCATAAATGTCTTTAGATTCTGTTGAACTACCGTCACAATTTACCGGAAGACCTTAAATAATCGATATAGACCCATGGTTCCTTTTGAGAATATGCATAGAATCACTTTCTGAGTCGATTTATGAATGTCCGTCTGTCCGTCCATGTATTTTTGTTAACAAAGTTCAGTCGCATTTATGACCCGATCTGGATGAAATTTGGCACAGGTCACTTAATTGGCCCAAGGACGAACCCTTTTGAAATTGGAGAAAATCGGTCCACGTTTAGGCATAGCTCCCAGATAAGGGTACCCCGCGTTTTTTAACTGAATTCGCTGAAATTTGGTACTTTGAGTTATTATTGAGTAGAAAATCTCTCCACTAAAAATTATAAATATGGGTCAATATTTTCGGATAGCTCCCATATAAGGGTACCTCCAATTTTGCGGTATTTTGGTGATTTTTCGACCGAATTCGCTAAAATTTGGTACTTTGAGTTCTTATTGGGTAACAAACCTCCCTACTAGAAATTATAAATATAGGTCCATTTTTTCGTGTAGCCCCCATATAAGGGTACCCCCAATTTTCGGTATGAAATTTGGCACAGGTCACTTAATTGGCCCAATGACGAATCCTATAGTAGAAAATCGGTTCAGATTTAGATATAGCTCCCATATATATTTTCGTCCCATTTTAACTTATTGATGCATCAAACTCCCGATTGTGGTCCGATTGAGACAAAATTTTGCACTGAGTATTGAATTAGGTTCATAATGATGTCTACGAAGTTTTGTTGAAATCGATTCAGATTTAGATATAGCTTCCATATATAGTTTCGTCTGATTTAAAGTAAATTTTGCACCAAACTCCTAATATTGGTCCGATTGAAGCAAAATTTTGCACAGTGTACTGAATTAGGTCCCGACTGATGTATGCGAAATTTCTATATCTACAGGATATTGTAGATATTAACATGTCTTGCATGTACCCATAGTGGTGAACTTTCCTTAGTGGTTTTCTTTTGTATATATACGAATATGGCCCCAATAAAAACAAATTTTTTGGAACAGGTGGTGACACAAACATTAAATTAAGCTCGATCATTGATTACCACTTTGCGACAGCATGTCTAGTGAAACGGGACTTTTTTGCAATCTTTTTCTTAGGAAATTCCATTATCAAGTCAACAAATCAAAATTTGTTGCGATAACGTCAACAATAATCGAAAATATCATTATGACATCTTAAAATTTCAGGGAGTTAAATAATTTCGAAGAATGGAATACATAATTTTGAGATAATGTCATTCATATATTACGGCAAAGGAATGTTAGATAGTCATATGATTATGATTAAGACTAAATGGGGGGGTATATAAAATTTGATCATAAATGTGCCTCAACACAAAATCGGGTGACTTAGGTCCAATTTCCATTTGAATTGAAGTGGGAGCTTAATAGTGGATTTATTAAGCTCCCACTTCAATTGGATGTTTGATGTTTGAAAAAATATTTCTTTAATAAATCCACAACTTGTTGGATGCTTGAAAAAATATTTTTAATAAATCCACGCTTTAAAATTTTTTAATAAGTCCAGGCCTTTTTGGGTCCTTTAAAAACAAATCTATTTTTTTTTTTTATTTTATTAAAAGTTATTTTATTTCCTCTTAAATTATCTTCCGCCCAATTTCTCTTCGGCCAACCTTACACTAATACCTCGGTAACATTTAATAGATAGCCCGGTAAATGGCCAACAGCTTTGACAAAATCACCAACATGGCAGGCATACAAATAACCTTTTTTCAGATTTTTGTTGCTCTTGTTGTTGGTGTTGCTCATCCAACGCAACCAGCCAACCTTCTCTTGTATATCGTCACAGATTACATAGTCCGAGCTGATTTCATTTAAACTGGCATGGGGATTATTTACACCGACCAAGACAATGCCCCGGCTATGTTGACTATTGACCAGCAGACGATAATACAACATCGGTACGGGCAACAGACCATTGTTGTTGCCATCTCTGGCCAAATAGAAATCACGTTGTGGTCCAAAGGCAGTGGTGGTATTAGTGGTGGGTGGTGATGCTGGCGGACCAGGCAATTTCATAATACCCCAGGTACCCGTATAACAATCCAGCCATTGCCTGGAATTGGCTGCATACTTACGCACCGCATCCTCCAATGCATTCCATTGGCCGCCATTGAAACCCTGCCACTGTGGTGCAGCATTGAAGAAATTAAACGTGGACCTTTGCTGGCTGGCATAGATATAGTCCGCTTTGGCCGCCAAATGGCCTCGTGTCAAGAACAGGGTGTTGTTATCGAAGATATGCCGGACATGTTGGTGTTGTTGTTCGTCCTGTAATGCCACAGCTGCTTGCTGTTGCTGATTGTAATTCGAATAGAGTTGATTCATATTGAAGTCATTGAAGTAGCCGGCCTTGCTGAAATGTAAGCGCTTTACCGATTTCTGGAAATGAACGCTGGCCGGCAACAATGCATGTCGAACATACAATGTTCGCAGCAGTGACGGTTCATAGCAGATACGCATAGTTTCTACAAATCGATTGCTGCTAATGTTGAAACCAACACGGTACATTTCAGCCGTCACAGTCGAAGTTGCAGCTGGGTCATCTGTCATAGCTGGACATGGTTTGTGTAAAGGTTCGACCAGATATTGGGTGGATCTTTCGCAAATGAATTGTCGGAATTCATATTTTTCTCCTTGCCACAAGAAATGTTTATCTTGCAGGCATCGTGGACGTATTGTCCGAGTGTTCTTTGCAATGCGAAAGATGTTGCCCGCAATGGATGGCTGGGTGGTGGTGGTGTGGGTTGTTCTCTTACTGTGCCCATGTTTCCCATTGGACTGTTTTGGCTCGCTTGAATTGGCAAATGATTTCGAACAATGTAGTTCAATGACAGCCCCACGTGGTATTTCCAATTGTCCTTGGTCATTGGGTAACCAGAATTGATTTGTATCTGGCATAAGGTAGAGCGGTTGCAAATCATTTGGTCGTGGAAAATCCTTTTGTACATCGAGCAGGCATGGTGGTCCTTTGAATGACAAAAAAAAGAAAAAAACATGAAAGAAAACAGAACAGAACAGAAAGATGAAAACAGGAAACAATAACAGCCGTAAGTGTGAAAACGTAGAATGTATGGAAGGAAAGGAGAAAGGGAGAAAAAGAGAATGTGATAAATTACCATTGCTTTTGTTAATTATTGCACTGGGTTATTATACGGATTCACACTCGGGGAAATGCAATGCTCCAAGCAAATTGAAAACAATGAAATTGAAATGATATAGAGAGTGTGTGAAAGTGTGTGTGCGGATGTGGAGAGGAAACACTTTTATTAATGAAGTTATTTTTCTTTCGGGGACTTCATGCAGAGCTCATATTGAGGTGGATATTTTGCAAGAGTTATTTTTTCCAAATCTTAAAAAAAATAGGGAGAAATACGTTTTATATGGAGTGAAAAAATATCTGAGGGGGTTCAACGAAATCCAAACAACAATTGTCGGTTTCTAAAAATTAGTCTATCAATAGAAAGATGTCAGGTAAAGTGGTTGTACCGATTAGACTGTGGGAAGTGATGTCCATCTAGGACTAAGAACTGGGGCGAGCACGATTTACAACCCGACTGACATATCCTCCTTATAAAGTTCCCGCACAGTTATCGGTATTATTTTGACCCATTTTCGGTATTTTGAAGATTTTGGTATATTTTCCCACCATATCGGATAATCTGGGATTTTGGAGGCTGACATATTTTTATATAGAAAACTATGTAATATAATGTAATATAAATCCATATAACGAACGATTTTAAATCGAATTGACTGTAATTTGAATATGCAATCTTCTCAAAATAAAAGTCCAGCACCATTTTTGGTATCTTTAGGATTTTAGCCGAATTTCTCCACAGAAGTGGCTATAATTTTGCACTCCAGCTTATTTTCGGTACTTTGAAGGATTAACCGAATTTTACCCACCAGAGCGGTTGAAATTTGGTATTCCGAGTTTAAGGAGGCTGACATATTACTATGTATTACCATTTTAGTTGAATTGTTAACGTAGCCTCCATAAGCATAATTTTCGATATTAATAGGTTTTACCCGAATTTCCCCACAGAGGTGGCCGTAATTTGACATTCCAGGTTCTTAGTGTACGGACACATATTCTACATTTTCGGAATTTTTAACATTTTATTTCGAATTTTTCCCATCGAATTGACTGTAATTTGGAATGACTATTTGTCGTAGATTGAAAAACTGATTACAGACGATTTCCGATGTAGGTTCATGTTTTAACAAAGCCTCAATATAAAGAAATGCCTGCCACATTTTAACGAAATTTTCCAAAGAATTGGGTGTAATTTTGCATTCCTGATTCTTGGTGAAGAAAATTCCTGCTCCCAGAAGAATTTTAATAAAAGGGCAGATTTTTAAATACATTCAAATGTCCTTCATAATTTTTGGTATCTTTAAGCAATTCTAGTGAAGAATTATATGTCCAATCGCCACCAAATTCGACCGGGTCGAACTATGAAGGTGCCATTCAAACTTTCAAAATAGGTTTGGACTTGGGGCTTTTTCAAAATATGGACCAACATTGAAATTTTTTCAAAGAAGATTTTTTAATCCGCTAAGAACCCACAATACAAAATAGCAACAATAGATGCAGTACCGTTGTATGTCGCCAATATTGGTCCACGTTTAAAAATTTTCTTCAAAATGAACATAACCACTAATCAGAATTTAATTTCTGTTCTGTGTTCTTTATCATAAGGTTTGAGCCGATGTGCCGATTTTTTTAATTAATCCGAAGATTTTAGGCAAATAAATTGCGATGTACCACTCAGAATTGACCATCCAGCGGGTCAAGCCGAACAGTCGATCATTTTCTTTGAAGTACTACTTCGAAGACCAACGCGGGGGTTTACTATTATGTTTCCAGTAGACACTTGTGAACCAGTAAGGAAAGTAGTAAAGTCGGACGGGGCCGACTATATGATACCCTTCACCACTGTGGGTATATTCAACAGATGAATCCTAACAGACGTCGAATTTTTCCATCCCTAAACATGTCACTCTGCAACCTATACTAAATTTTACATTAACTTCAGAACGTTGTGCCAAATTTTTTGTCAATCGGCCTACCTTGGGGTCTTTGGTGAACCATTTATCTATCGGACGAAAATATATATGGGAGCTATATCTAAATCTGAACCGATTTTCAGGAAACTTAACACACATTATTCTAGACCTTATTTATTACGCTATGCCAAATTTCGTGTAAATCGAAAGATATATAGGGACTTTGGCACACCATTTACATTAAATCGGACGAAAATATATATAAGGGCTATATCTAAATCTGAACCGATTTTCAGGAAACTTAACACACATCCTTCTAGACCTTATTTATTACGCTATGCCAAATTTCGTGCAAATCGAAAGATATATAGGGACTTTGGCACACCATTTACATTAAATCGGACGAAAATATATATAGGGGCTATATCTAAATCTGAACCGATTTTCAGGAAAGTTAGCACACATCATTCTAGACCTAATTCAGTACGCTGTGCCAAATTTCGTGCAAATCGATAGATATATAGGGACTTTGGCACACCATTTACATTAAATCGGACGAAAATATATATACGGGCTATATCTAAATCTGAACCGATTTTCAGAAAACTTAACACACATCATTCTAGACCTTATTCAGTACACTACACCAAATTTCGTGTAAATCGAAAGATATATACAGACTTTGGTGCACCATTTACATTAAATCGGACGGAAATATATATGGGAGCTATATCTAAATCTGAACCGATTTTCAGGAAACTTAACACACATCATTCTAGACCTAATTCAGTACACTATGCCAATTTTCTTGCAAATCGAAAGATGTATAGGGACTTTGGTACACCATTTATATTAAATCGGATAAAAATATATATGGGAGCTATATCTAAATCTGAACCGATTTTTCGCAATTTCAATAGTGTTCGTTCTTGGGCCAAATAAGTCACCTATGCCAAATTTCATCCAATTCGGATCATAAATGCGAACTGTACTTTGTTTACAATTTAACATGGGCAGACAGACGGACGGACGGGCATGCATAAATCGACTCAGAAATTGATTCTATGCATATTTTTTCTTAGGCCAGAAAAATATATAGAAGCTAGTGATATGGTCATTACTTTTCCCAGAACAACATTCATCCTTACATGCATAAACATTTGATGTCAATTAGTCGGATCTATCTGGCGATCCATTGGCTGTAAACATCCCAACAGGGGTTCTCTCTAACTTTTTGAATACCTCACAATTTCACAAAAATAATTTTACAATAATTAAAAAATTATAATTTCAAGCTATTCCAATTGCCATGCCAAATTACCAGTCACTGTTCTTACCTTGAGCGACGTCTATGTTAACGACATCATGATTATTAAAATTGTTTAAACGTTTAACAATATCTTCAACATCTTCCGCAGGTTGAATTATACGACGAGCATCCACTGTTAGAATTGAGCACAACAAAAAAATTCCCCCAAATAAATGGCAACAGAGCGAACGCAGACTAACATTATAACCGGACAACATGTTAATGCCGCCAACACCACGAGAATACTGCAGCAGCCCACGAAACCGGCTATCTGGTACAAGTTGAAATTGTAAACAATGTTGGTGTGCTGCTGCTGCTGCAGTAGCAGACGAAAGATCTTTTGGATACCAGCAATACGAAATATTTTCTTTTTTTTTTGTATTTATAAGAATGCGTACGACACAAAAACAATGCAAATGGACGTATACGATAAAAAAAGAAAGTGTTGAAATAAAATACACACTCTCAAAAGAAAAACGTGATGTTAATTAATTAACAATTGTTGCCATACTACAGTGCTTGAGAAAAGTATAAGGCAATTAAAAATTAAAAAAAATTATATTTTGTAGCTTCCCTGAATAAAAAATATGTGGAGAATTTTATCATAAAGTTTATAGTCAGTCCCCCCCCTCAATGGATGGCATTTCACATTAAAACAACAATAACACATGTTGAGTTCAACATAATTTCCGACAACAAGGTTTATATTTTTATTCTTATCATGTTTTAATATTGGTGTTATTGTTGTTATTTGTTTATCTTTTGTATGTAGCATGTTTTTTTTATTTTTAGCCTTAACATAAATATTATTAATGTTGTTCTGTTAGTCGATTAAACACGGAATCGATACTGTGCGAGCAAATATTATGAAAGGTCAAGAACTGGGTTTTGTGAACAATGAAATGAGAATGTAGTTCATATTATTCAAAATATATCGTTATACCCTTCACCACACTGTGGTACAGGGTATTATGTCTTTGTGCATATGTTTGTAACATGCAAAAATAATCGAGATAGATTCATGGTTCCTTTTGAGAATATGCATAGAATCACTTTCTGAGTCGATTTATGCATGACCGTCCGTCCGTCTGTCTGCCCATGTTAAATTGTAAACAAAGTACAGGTCGCATTTATGATCCGAATTGGATTAAATTTGGCATAGGTCACTTATTTGGCCCAAGGACGAACCCTATTGAAATTGGGAAAAATCGGTTCAGATTTAGATATAGCT